TTAGCAAAATATGGATTTATTCATTTCTATGCCGCATATATCTACATTTTAAGTATATGTAAGTACTTCGCTTTTTAGTTTAATTTTATTTTTTTTTTTTGTAATTTCTTTTAAGATGTAGTATTTCATCAAATTTATCGTTTACCTCTCCAGCTTGTTTCGCCATCGAATTGACTTGATCGGGATCTCTGGTGCCAAGCACTGATGACAGCACAGCAGCTAAGATGTTCTGTTGCAAGCGAGAAACCACACAAAACCAATAATTCCACACACCAATCAGTTTGAGATATTTTTTCAAATTTTACGTATCGATTTGAATTGTACAAGAACAACAACAATAATGGTAGAATAACAAAAAAAAAGAAGAGGATTTTCAATTAAAAACTTTTATGTCAACAGATTACTGGGGATAAGCACAAATGAGGTTAATGAAAATAAATCAAAGCAAAACCCAAAATTGAAGCTGGATGAACTGCAGGGAACAAATTTCGGGCAATTTGAAAAACTTTTACTTGATATGAAATTGCATACTAATGAATATTTTTTAGTCATAATACAAGAACTGTATTATAATGAGCACCCGGTTCCTATTTTCTCTGTTTCAAAAATTTTTTCGTCAATTAATTTATCTTACTAACAAAATTTCTGCATGTGTATTTTATTTTGCTCAAATTATTATTTGCACAAAAAATTTAAACAAATTCCATATCAACAGGAATAGAGTATCAATTAATAATATACATTCATAATTACAGTGACGAACGAAAGTATAGGCACAGCGAAATTTTCGCAATATCTGCAAAGTTTTTTATTTGCATTTATTTTCGATAATTTTTTATAAAAATATAGTTCATACTACACCAAAAAAAATCTCTACATTTTGTGCAAAGCTGAGGAAAATTCAGTAAATTTGAGTACATACTAACTTGCAACTTTCTATTCAGATTTTTTAGAAAAATTCTAGGTATGCAGTTGTATAGCTCATTAAAATCAAATCGATTTTCTAGCAACTCCAAATCTGAATAGAAAGTTGCAAATTAGTATCTATACAAATTTGTTGAATTTTCCTGAGTTTTGCACAAAGTTGAGAGATTTTATTTTTATGTTTTGTGGTATAATATGAACGATATTTTCTTTTAATTATCAATAATAAATAAGAACAAAAAAATTTTTCCAATATTGGGAAAATTTCACTGCGCCAATACTTTTGTTCGTCACTGTACGTATATTTCAAACAAACAAATATTACCTACCACCTATTATTCTCCCTCTTCTCTTAGCTAACACAAATTTTGAGCGGCAAAAGCATTTAGAAGCATTACAATTAGTTTAAAAATAGTTAAAACTAATAGGATATTTACACTACACGATTAAGTTACTGTAGGATTGAATGAAGTGCAATCAAATTTTCTACCAAGAAACATCTAACCTGCGTTTATAGAAAACTTCTTCGTACCTGCATTGGTGAGCCACCATTGTCTACCTTGTCGATACCGTCGCTGGGAGCGCCACCACCCAGCAGTGTGTTGATGATCTTTAAGCCTAATAAAGTATGTGAGATTAGATCAACATTATTCATATTTTTTCTGTTTCCTCAACACTTACCCATCGAGATAACATTGGCCCAGGGTGATCCGCCGAAACCGACTGAGTTATCCACATCGTCCGATTTGGTGGGCGCGTTTGCTGGTCCGTTGAAGAACATCGTCAAAACAGTGGACAGCATGTTGGACCACGAAAAGCCGGTGGGCGTCTCGGTTATCTGATTGACTACGTCGCCTTCATCCTCCACATCATCCAGCGCCACTTTCTTCGAAGCGTTCGGTTTTACGGCATACTTGCGGCCAGAGAACTCTTCCGCCGGTCGATAAACGGGCGATTGCTGCTGCTGTGACTGTTGTACTTGCTGCAAACGCTGACGCTGGTAGACTTCATTTTGAGGGTAAGCGTAAGTGAGGAGTAGGCAATTAGTGGCAACTATGGACAATAGCAGGTAAGCGTGCAGCTTTCGTTGATTCAACATACTGCAAAAGGCAAAAGAAAAAAATTGTTACAACTTAGATTTCGGCTGAAAAACAGAAAGTCAAAATAAGTACAAAGAAATTGTGTAGTTTTCATTTAAAAGCCGCGACATATTTTTGTACGCAGACTCGTACCCTTACGTTTGGATTTTAAATAACCTAAAGCTTTCTATTAAAATTAAGATTAATAAAATAATCAGGCATACACATTAGGGTGTACTTTTTTGGCAACTATTTTCTTTTACCACTATCTCGTAAATAGCCAGAGCTCCAGAAAAATGTTAATTTCTTACAAAAAAGCTTTAGAACACTAAATCTCTAACATCGTTCACTCATTTCAGCCTAGAGTCCTACCCTAACTAAATATGTTCCTATGAACAGTTGAATTGATTATAAATAGTTACATTATTTGGTTATAGTTACCAAATCGTGCTCGCATATACTTAAATGTATATACATACATACCTCGCTCCTTTACTTTTTTGGACTTCTGCCCTTTAAACAATTTTCTGAGTCTGAAATTAGTATTTCTTTCGTCATAGATATGAGTCTGAGACCAGTCAATTAGACTGACTCTTTCTGGACTTTTTTGGTGTCATAAGTTCTGAGTTGAACAAAACTAACAAAGTTCACGTAGAAGTAAAAGTTTATTAATAATCAGAACTATAAAGAATATTTGTTTTTAAGACTCAGAAAGAGTCATATTGCAGACCCTAATATGACCCCTAACTTGGGCTCATATTGGCGTGCCCTTCTAAGAAGGGAAATATGTACTTTTCTGACTTTTTTTTTTGACCTCATAATGAGGGTTACGACTCAGAATTCTGAGACTTTTCTGACTCTAAAATGAGTGCGAATGTTTATAGGGTACAAATATCTTAGGTTTTCAAAGACACAAAAGCTCTGATGCAGTACTCCATAAACAGGTTTTTACACGAACTTGCAGGAAGTTACAGGAAAAATGATCCCG